AAATGGAGGGGAGGAATGAGTTTTTTTAATCAATCAAATTAGAACATTTTTAAATATTACAATATGATTGATAAAAAAAAATCCATCCTTCCCTTCCCCTCGCCTCCCCTCCATTTCCTTCAAATGAAACATACCATTAGGATTTTGCACACAATTCTTTAGGAGATTAAAGCTAGTGCCCTTATCTACCTCCAATCCGAGGAGGGCACTTGTGCCACTCCTACTCCCATTGCAATGAACTACATACTAACCTCCCATGAACAACCAACCTAACCCTCCATCCATTGAGCATTAGTAAGCATAGGTTGGCACCAACAATAACCCTAGCTCCACGGTCTAGCACCCCAAGATTAGAACTTTGTGACACTGCCATGCAGACCTCCAATGCCTTACATTGAAACCCTAAACTAAATGAGAAAAGAATGTCCCATTCAGGAATGACTTTGTTCTTGAGGACTAACCACCTTCAATGGTGGACTCACCCTTTTACATTACATAAAGCCCTAGGCCAAAACGAGGGTCTTGCTTATAAAATTATTCTTTAATTTTGAGATACATGCATGTTAATGTGAAAACACTATAACTATCAAAAGAATTAAACAATTTTGAATTAATTTTAAGCTCAACCAAAGATGTAAAAAAATACTTTATATAGCAAAAGGACATTCATATTTTCATCAATCCCTTTTTAAAGTGGAGGAAGTAGGGAATGAGGAAATTAGAAAACTAAAGATATGTTGGTTCAATGTCAATGAGAGAATCATGGGTGTTTGGGGTAGAGAAAAAAATTGGTTGAGGGGAAAACAGGTAGAGGAAATTATGAGAAAAAGTGTAAAGTCTTATTCTAGATTGGTCTGCCCCTAATGCCAACGTGGATGACTTACGTAAATATTTTTGAATCTCCAAATATCTCTTTTCTAAAAATCCTAATCATGATTTTAACTTCAATAAGATTTTCATACAACGTAGATATTAATGCACACATAACTAATGCCTAAAGAGTATAGATTAGACAAATCCTTAGATAATACAATCTCTTAATTCTTGTTTTCTACTCTCCTCATTCCCTCCTTTCTCCACTCTAAAATAAAAATGAAATAATTGATACACTTAATATACAAATAAGTAAAACTCTATGACACAAGAAACAACTAAGTAAAACTCTAGAACACGAGAAACAGCTAAGGTTGTGTTTGACAACATCTTTCCATATTTTATTTTTTAGTTTTTATGTTTTTTTATTATTTTAAAAATATATTAA